TGTTAGACTGCGAATTGATAAGCGCTTCGGGACCGATCCTTTACAATTGCAACTCGATGCTGACGTGACACCCGGCAAAGAAAGGTTGGACCGGCATTGCGACCCACGAACTGTTATAGCGATCGACAGTGAGGTGCAGTCGTGTCAGAATAAAAGTACACACCGTGTTGCGAAGGTGATTCATACGGCGTTTATTTGAGCTCGATATCACATAAAAGAGAGATAGAATCGATGAGAGCCCCTTTTCGACGACAGCGTTCGTCACCGCTGCCTCGGAAAACAAGGAGATGACAAGAGGAAGAGAGTGACCTCTTAATCTAAAATTGAGTTCAGCGATCAAACTATAATACGGGAAGAATTCACAAGGGTCGCGTGGGCATATTCAGCACGCCAGCCGGTCGTGGGCAGACGGTCTTGGCCAAGGACCGTCAGAGCACCGCTGCACCGAGTCGGAGTGCCTGCTAGGGTTATGCCCAGCTCGCTCGGTCGGGGTCCGTGTAATCGTGGCCGTTGGAGCTTTTCCCGGGTCTTCGTGGATCCAGCGTTCTTGTTCGCTCGTCGTGGTTTGTTTCGAGTACTTTTTACTTTTTTCTTGCTGCTTGAAGTCGGGACGCGTGAGAAGCGCACGTAGAAAAATTAACGTCCGTTGGTTGTCGCGACCAACTGAGCGACGCTGTCGGCCATGCTGATTTGATCGTAAGAACTGCGTAAGACAGCTTCGGAGCTGTCGTAGGATTTCGTCGTAACCTGCTCAAAACTTACGCAAATTTCGTTTCGTGAATACGAATTTGTTCTTAAGTTTTGTCTTACGCACATTTTTGGCGTAAGATCGTTTCGTGAATCTGGCCTCTGGGCAGCTGCAGTGGGGAGGCGAGAGAACGTATTCGCACATCGTGAACACGTGGGTGGATATTTCGCAACGGAGGCTGTCACGGGGGTGAGAAAGGGAAGGGAAAGGGGGGGGGGGGGGGGGGCGGATGGAGTCGCGGGAGGGCACGTGGACCCGGTGAACGCAGCAAGGACGATGGGGAGGCGAAGAGCGCTCTCCCCGTGATCGCGCTGTTTTTTTTAGGAACTTTGGAAGCCTACAGCCGTGAAGGTGACAGAGAGGAGCGAGAAGAGATCTTTGACGTCTGTGAGAAATGACTAAGAGATGGAGAGCAGTGCCTCTGATGTTGAGTGGGGTTTTGCGTTCGTACATGATATTTTTTTTTTTTTTGCCTGGAAGAAGCATTAGCAGCTATTACTGTAAAATGTTTCATTCCCTCACTATTGCCACTACTGTGCCAAAAACAGTGGTAGAACAAAATCGGATACAACGTCGAGCTACATGCGATAGCAGCGCCGCCGCTTCTGGCGCCTTGGAAACTCCGGCACCGTAACTACGTGGACGAGACATACTTCAACGGAGGAAAGAGTGGAGTCGCTTTGCGGCTTCCTCCCGAATGGCCCTATCAAGAAAATCCACCGAAGTGAAAAAGAAAAAAGGAAAAAGATTGAGCAAATACAAGGAAGAGCGTGCGCGCTCGTCGGAGCGCTGAAATCCCAGAGAACTTGCACATCTGGTGCGTTGTTCAAAACGCGCCTATGGCGTCTCTACAGCGTGGGTGAAATGGATTGAACGAAAATTTAAACTGACAGCATAAATCGGTTTCTTAACTTATCGCGCTGGGATTCGCTACAGAGGTGCTCGAAGCAGGTGCATTTATTATTTGAGAGTATGTATACACGAAATTTCCGGAATCAAAAGAAGAAAATAAAAACAGGGTTTGTCGATGAAAAACTTATCCTCTAAGCCTTTTTATCAAAATTGTCAGAAAATCGCTGTGGGCTCTTCTGGCGTCTCCTACAATTGAAAAATATGTGAAATGGGAAGAAAATAATATTGGCCTAACTATTTTTCACTTCATTTAGCCAAAATAAGCGCCAGAATAACACATATTTTTAGTGTCCATGCAAAGTGTAGGAGAAGCATAGGTTTTGTTATTTTCTTGATTTACTGATGCGAGTCAATTTTTCCACAATTTTATGGAGAGCTTCCACCAACTTCATGCATCTCTTTAGTAAAATCCAGTGCGATGAGTAAAGAAACCGATTTATGTGGTCCCTTTATAGTGGGTTTAATCCACTTCGCCCACGCCGTATGTTGGACCACATGATGTGAACCGCGGGAACAAACTCACGTCTACTGCCGCATCCTATCAGTGAGGCGACAAGCGTGTCGTCAGCGTTCGGCTGGCGTCCGCGTTCTCTGGTTTCATAACTGAAGTGAGAGCCGGAAACGGTTAGAATCCGGACTATTAACACTATTAGTGGTCAAAAAACAAAAGTATTGTAATATGAGATTACATGTGGTTACCTAGAGCTCGTTAAGTAAGAGGATCAGCATCGAAGCTAAGAGTGTTTTAGAACCGATTATTAGTGTTTATACAACAAGGACAAAAAAACCTCCCCCCCCCCCCCCAACACACACACCCGCACTAAAATGTCAGCTTGTTTTAATATTTAGTGCGCGAAAGATCATTGCAATGAGGCAAAGTTTCACTTGTTGTTATAATATTAAAAAATGCTCTTTTCTTCTGTGGTGTAAGACAATTGGTGCGTATGTGCTCAAGGCGCGGGGGACGTTATGCACTCCGGAGAAGTAGATGCAGAAGAGCTTTTTGGAGTTCACTCTTTTGCACCCTTGTTCGTGTGTCTCGCAGGCACACAAACGCGGAGAAACACTCAAAGTACCATGTTCGTGAACCTGGCGGGATTACCAGGTGGGAACGGGCAAACGAGGAAACTGCGAACAGTACGAGTTTTAAGCGTTGCTGGACATGGGCGAATTGAAAGGGGCAGAAGGCGAACGGCTAGTTTTGGGTAATGCTACCTGTGCACGAACGCTTATGCAGCCCAGGCAGGATTAAAGGCACGAAACTCGCATTCCTAGCCTTGGCGGTCAGTCTGTGTCAAGGTCACATGAAATGTAGCGTAAGATTAAATACACACTAGTGGCTACCGTAGGGCACTTCCGGAAGCGAGTGACACCAGCGTAATGCGCAAAAGCAGATCTAATATTACAGGTGCAAGGTAATTTGTGAAACTCCGGTTCATGTTAGTGGGCAAACCTTTGCCGCCCCCCCCTTTCCCACTAGGTTCGTGATGTAGTGAAAAATTGGTTTATTTGAAAGACGAGGAGGTTATCCATAACCATGAAACTTGGTTAAGATCTTCGTCTTTCTAATAAACCAAGTCTTTCTCTATAGGCTCCTTGCACAGGACGTCACTTCCGTTGCCCTCCAAAGAAGAGGGGAAGAAGGAGCTCCCCTCTTATCAGGATCCTCCTTTGTGCCTCCCGGATTTGTACAGGCGTCGCTATTCTCCCCCCAGAAGATTATAGAAGATTAACCCGTCACTCAAAATTCTTACAAAAGCAGCTTCCCTCTCCTCCTCTTACTTGGTGTTCAAAAGTGTGCGATGTGACGTCAGTGCAAGAAGCCTATAGCGCGTACTTCGCTCGGTTTCCCAATGGAGAAAAACAAGTATGCTGGGATGTGGAGATCGCATGCTTGACTGTGAATTACTGAAATTTGGACGGTGCACAGATACGTGGTAAGTGAGTTGTACATGATGTCCTGCATATTCTCGTGTAACTAGAACAATAACACCAAAATGTAGCTGGAGATCATCATAATGTGAGGTGCAATTTCACTGAAAGGCAGAAGCGATTAGTCCACAGGGAGCACATAACGCTATCGCTAAAACGACAATCACATAACGGGCCAAAATATGATATTATCCCACGGACAATCCACGTGACCGTCACATCAGAGATCCTGGCGACTCGCGGATCGTCTGCGGACGCGAGCACTAATTTTGCTGAGAGCCTTTTCACTCACGGAATTTTGGCGGCGTACATACTTAAAAATTGTTTTGTCTCGCGACAACAAAAAAAAAACGGATTTTTATTTTGGTTAAACAAAACGAAGATGGAGCACCATTCTGCTATCTCCGTTCACTGGTTCGTCCTGTCGATTAATTCTTAGTTGCCCGCGTGTAGAAGGCGTCAGGAACACATCTCAGCCTATTCGCTGGGGGTTCCGGTATTCCTTTTGTTTGTGTCAAGAAACTTCGAACAAAACTCGTATAGAACGGCGCGAGCTTTTCTAGCTAGACGTTCCTTCAGCCAGAACATTTTCTGTCCGTAGTTTACTGAATGTTGCGGACGAGCGCGTGGGGTCGAGAACATCAATAAACGCCTCTCCCTGAGCCTCCATCGATTCTACGCTGAGCCTCCTCGAGAAGGGCCATACCTATGTTATGATGTGGTTTAGGAAAGTTAATGGCGCTTCGCGCTAAGCCTGCCACGGTCGTCTGTCTGGCTTGGTACGTAATAGCAGCATATAATTATGTTGTTTTGTTTTGGTCGTGATGCGATAGCGCCGCGTCCACAGCGGCAAACGTCGCATTCGGTCTCGGTCGATGGTTTGGCTCATGCCAGCTATCGTCTGCTCTCCTCATTATTCGTGGGAACCACGAGGAGAAGCAAGTTTTACAGACGTGTATGATAAATTCGTTCAGGAATCGGTCCGTTTTGTAAATCTGCCAAAAGCGGTATTTCTGTCGCGCGTTCGCACTGCGACTTCGAAGTATGCTCTTGAGAGCGTGTCGGAAGTTCTACCGTGCCAGCTAGAGCCGTTGCCAGCAGTAGACTGCAGTTTCGCCATGTTAAATCTCTCTAAGGTCCAAGTGAAAATAGACGGCCGTTTTCATTATAGCCACAATACCAATCTTTAACATTCGAACCGAATTACGAAGCGGTGACAACCATTTTTTTTTGCAATGTATTTCCACACTTCGTACGTCGGGCTGCTGTGTAGAAACAACATGTCGCACGTCGCTTTTCTTGCATATGCGGAGTGTACCTCAATCTGCGACATGTTAGTTACCGCGCTATTTACTTACCGCTGCTACCCCATCACTCTTGAGGGATGACCGCTTTGTGCTGTTTGCAGACGCCCCGATAGTGACCCTCCAGCTGGGCAGCAATCTGCGAGACGGCGAGATTCAGGAGGGCCGAGACGTGTACCTCGACTGCAAGATTGTCGCCAACCCTTACACGAGCGACGTGGGCTGGCTCTTCGAGGGCCGGGAGCTGGCCTCCAACGCCACAGCGGGGGTTATCGTGAGCACCCAGAGCCTGGTGCTGCAGCGGGTCCGCAGGGCCCAGAGGGGCCGCTACGCCTGCTCGGCCACCAACAAGGAGGGCCGGGGCGTCAGCAAAGACCTCTACCTCAGGGTGAAGTGTGAGTGCTGCACAAGATTTGTTTAGTCGTATGTGCCGGCTGTTTCATCAGAGCTTTTGAAATTACGAAGCTTTCCTCAAGCCACTGGCGGGAGCAACGCGATCTTCTTTTGTCAAAGTTTCATGCGTAAACTTCCTTCATTCTTTAAGTCGTGTACAATTGTGTGAAAGCTTTGGAAACTTTCCTCGGTGACGTAAAAAACCGTCGTTTGGGGGCCTTGACGCTATTTAGTGCTGCCGCCTGCTAAACTGCCACCCGCAAAGCATTTGTTTTTCCATTCAGGCGTGAACATATGTGTTCCTACTCAAGAACTCGGTCAAAAACCGGTTGATCAAACACTATGTGACACTGCGGCTCATGTCAGCATATTGCCCGAGCAGCATGACGAGTCTCTAAGCATAAAAAAGTTTACTAATTTACCACGGGAGTTGTGACCCCGAGATGTGCACAACCACATTCGTCAAAACATGTTTCGGTCGCACATCTTTAAGGTAAAGTTAACAAGTCCCAATACCGTTCTTCTCAAACATAGTTTGTTGGGGTAAACATTAAGAAGGCGGATACAGATATGCCTCAACCAATGGACAAGCAAACATGAGCAAGGTGTATATTTACCAGAATACCAGGAAATTTATCAAAGTTTTGAACAAACCTAGTGTACCGCAATACTTGACTTACAGTTAAGTCGTAAACAGTTCAATTATCGGCTGTAGATTATTAATTCTAGTCAGTGTTTCTTTTTTATTTTTGTCTTGCATTAGCATATTACTACTTCTAGCCAAAAAAAGGCTATAGAGTCGAAACAAAATTGCGATGAATAAATGAAATCTTTGGTAGAACACGTCATCGTGCATATTAATCCCAAGCGGAATATTAAGTTGCGTGAACCTTATAGTAAACCGGCTTAACAGTATATAGATGAAACGTTACGCTGGGTCTGTTGATAATAATTCTAATAGCATTTAAAGGGTTCCTAGTGTTTGATATATGTGTGATAATTAGTTGCAGCTGAATTATGTGTTGAGGTAAGAGGTAAAATGTCTTACCTGATTTTTTTTATCTCCTACGACGCAAGACAGATCTTAAGATCCTGAGAGGGTCTGCGAAAACTAAGTATGTCTGTAAGATGCGTATAAAACCTTTCTGGGCCGTTATTTCTACATTTACAGCGGTTTTTCTGCAGTTTCTATGACAAAAGTATATTTTTAAGCTTCATGTTTTCTCTATTAGAAATCCGGGGTTATGTTTATATATATATATATATATTTATGTTTTATATATATTTAAAGTCCCAAGAATGGGGTGGTTAAGGAAAAGGGAACTTTTCTTTAGGATCAAACTACCAGCCACGGCAAACGTCAAGAATTGCAAAAAAAAAAAAAAAAGAATTAGCGAGATTTTACGTTAAGCTTTATATTTAATTTACTTTTAGTTTGTGAAAATGAACATACGGTTAAATTAGAAACTTGCAGAGCGTCTACGAAAGCCCCTAAAGCAGCCGAGGTTAGGAAGGCTGAAAACACGAGTGAAGCCTGAGGGTGCGCTAGAATTTCCAGTCGTGCAGCTGGCGGAAGGCCGGGGACGCGAAAACTTGGATGGGAAAGAAATTATCCGCATTTTCGCCTCGAAAGCTTTCCGCCATCTGCGCGTCTGGGGAGTCTAGCGCACTCCCGTACTCCACAGGTGCTTCAAGTCTTCCGGAAAGTATCTGATTTAGGGGTTGTCAATGGCGCTCAGCGAGTTTCTAATTGGAGCGTTATGTTAAGTTAGCCTATATAAACAGGTACATAATTAGTCAGTTTTAGGACAATATTTTGAAGGTTTGTGTAAGTTTTGCAATCCCTGACATCCGCCGTGGCCTGGCAGAATTTGGTTTTCTTTTCTTAATTACCCTATTTATTGGAATTTTGGAAGAAATTCACAGAAAATTCCGGTTTATATGATCCTCTAGCTATGATTGTGACCCTTAGTCTAACGTTTTGTTTTCTTTGACTGAGTGCTTTCTAATTTGAAAGGAGGATCAGCCGAAAACTAGAGAAAACATGAGTAGTATTTCAACGTAGAAAAGAGCTGTTTCGACAGATTTTGAGTGTTGAGTATTATGCAATATGTTACACGGAGGAAGCAGTTTACCGGCGATATATGAAACGAGTGGTTTCTCTCTATAACAAGTTATCAGCTATGATTGAAGCACAAGATCGGAATATAATGAATTTTTTTTTTTATAATATAGTGAAGCCTCGTGAAAGTAAGACTAGTAATCAATGTTTCGGAACTCTTAAAAAAGTGGTTTCCAGCACATTTTTAAGGATGTTGTCAGTTCCATTCAGAAGTGTTTAGCAGGGGTGGAAATAGGTTTCTATATACGTTCAGTGCCGAACAAGCACAACACATCCTTAAGACCGGAGTGGACGGGAAGGATGTGACAGGACACACATCACAATTGAGACGTGTGTCCTGTCCCCATTATTTCCGTCGTCTCCGGGGTCTTAGCGATGTGCAACCTAAACCAACTCGCCTGTTTACTAGCTTTATCATCATAAGCATAAAACCTTTCTTCTAACCCCAAACAAACTGAAGGCTAGAAAGGAAAAAAACGCGGATGATAAAAAGACCGTAAAAACCGCACAGCCGCATTTTCGCATCCAGAGCTTCGTGCAGGTCACGCTTGGACAGCCTTTAGAACGCTACCGCGCTTCCCACGTGCTGCAAGTCTTTCTACATTTTATTGAAATGATGCATCTTAGTGACGCTCAGGAAGTTTGAAATTAGAACCACTAACTTGAAATTAGGTTAAAGCTTTTATCTGAATAACGAATTTATCACGACGATTAGCCTTCTATGTTTTGCCCCCATGGCGATGTACCTAACTTATCGGCACAGCCGGCAATAGTAAAGCTGTCACGGTCTTATAAAAAAATTTAAAAAAAAGCTGCCTCTAAATCTTAGAAAAACACAATGTTCATAGACCTGTCTACGCACGTGAAGATCCATTGAATCAGGCGTATGCACGACTTATATTCCATATAGATTCCGAAATCGTCCATTGAATCACAGATCTAACACAGTGAATCGCTTCGAAAACGTAAACAATACAAAAACTTTGGTCATGTCGTTTGTCCGGCCCCCACCCTCTTTCCTTTGCAAATTTTAAAGCTACGCGGTTCGGTAAGCCTTATCATCAGCTGGAGGCGTTTGTAGATGGATGCAATTCGAGTTCCTGTACAGGCTCCCTACAAGAGCCAGGGTTGCGCGTCTGTTTTCCACGTGCCGCCGCGCCGCTTTTCGTCGAGATCCGATCACGTGAGCAGCCGGATCAAATGCCGTGCAGGATAGTAGACGTTGCACGCGCCTCGGCGTACGTTCTTCTGCTTTTGAGCGCGCCGCGCGCCTTGAACGCGCGGCGCCGCTATTCGCCGAATTCAGTCACGTGAAGAGCGGGATCACTATGCGGGGCAGGAAAGACGGCGCTACGGGAATGAACGCGCCACTCTGGCTCCGGGACCCAAACAGGAACTCTAGATATAATTTGCAAATCACGTGGTGTGTAGGAGGTAAGAAGGCTGCGTATATTTTCTCGCGTGTATATCTACAGTCTGTACACTAAGGCTTAAAACTAATTTTGAGATGTTTCGCGAAAATCGGCCTCTAAATGAATCGCGCTACGATTACCTGCAGAGGTGCGGTATCGCGTAGGCAGTTTGGAGTGAAAATATCATCGACTAAAATTACCTCGTTAAGAAACGGTTAGAACATGTATCGGTCAATTTACGGCGCCATTTCGCAGGCGGTGCTACAACGTTGCTCGCACACTTGTTTGTGCTGCCGAAAAATGGCGCAATAACAGATGTGAGAGAAATCGGTACTTGGACTGATTATTTCCGTAAAGAAAACGAGGGATCTGAGAATATTAAACACCTGAAATCGCTTTTTTTTTTTTGCTTTTTTTTAAATAATCATTTTACTTTGAAAATGGTGCTTTACAGAGAGCGCTCCGCCATGAGGGAAGCGCAGTAAAATTCTCGGAAAATCGCCAACTAAGCTCTGCGCCGGCATGTCCTCATGGCTTCCGGCACCTGCCAGCAGCATCTAAAAAAAAAGAAAAAAAAAAAAAAGAGCACGAACCTTCTGCGAAACGCGGCCGTAAATTTTAAAACACAGATTTTTATTTTTATTCCTTCAACATGGTAAGGTAAATTGTCGTCCTTTATTCTCCATACTTCAAACTCCGCTGCACCTTCGAAGGAAATCGCATGCCATGGGCTGAAAAATCGACTTCTGCATACCATCTGGGTTCGAAGCATTAGGCTATAGACGCTGAGCACGTTTCTAAAACATGTGCGCTTGTAGGGGGTGGATTGAAAGGCGGAGGGGAAGGGGGGGGGGAGGGAGGGAGAGGGAATCTGACGAGGTATTATTTGGGGGAAAAGACAGAAGGACGCCTCTGTCACCTCAAGATTCAACTTAGTGTTCAAAAGCGCTTCGCAGTTTTTCAAGACTTTCAAGTTGCAGCGGTGTCAATCAACGTTTAGAGGTCGGCAGAAATTCGTTCTGGTCTACATTCTGCGGGAGAATCTGCTTCCGGATGTGGAGTCTAAAGTAACCTTTGGGTTCTCACCAAGAAAAGGTTGACGAGGTCACGTCTCGCCGGAAACTGACCAAAATGTATAGAGCTATTTCAAAGGTACGATGAATATTTGTTCACGCTCTTTGATATATATATTCCTATCTGGCTGACAAATTTTTGAACCGACACTATTTTGGGTTCTCACAATTTCATTTCTGCCCACAGCCTCCCCTTCCCATTTCGCACTTCCTCCGACCGCCCTTGGTTCCGGCATCTTTCATTTCTTATCGAACATGTCTGACGCGTGCCGCAGAAGACATAATTTATTACGGTTAATAAAGCTGGAGTTTTCAAACCCAAGACATTTCAATACTCTGGGACAATGAAGCTTCAGTTACTTTATTGCACTACTCCTGGCATATTTGACTGGCTT